AAAAAAAAGAGGTTGAGAAGTTAGAGGGTTGATATGTTGTGGGGTTGTTAACCAATGTCATAAAACAACACGTGTACTTCTGTTTCTTGAGAAACTGTTTGTTCTGTAAGCCTTCACCTGAAGTACAATTAGAAAAAAAAATACAAACTAGAGCAAAACTGATATGCTTTCTGGATTGTAATTTATTGAAAAGGCAGTTACAGAATTTCACCTGTTCTTCCTATAGTCTAATGGTATCCACATGAACGTTTTTTGCTCAAATATAAACCTTTCAACAGCTACTAGCTATAGAACAGGTCTTTATATTTTCAAAATCAGCACAATTAACTTGAAGTGTACATTATTTTAAGCTAGATTGTAAATGAATTACTTTAAACAAATATGAAATTTATTTTTACTTATCAAAACAAGCCAACGCACAGTAAAACGAAAGAATAAAGTCACCAGTTATTTCAATACAATGCCACAAGCCATTTTTTCTGTTTGTAAAGGATCAAACTTTAGGTACAATCACAAAGCATTTCAATATTCATTCAAAACCAGAATAATACAGTTGGTCCAAGAAAACACATTGAATTTTTCCTATATAGCATAATAAGACAGGGGATATAGAACACTTGAAAAACAGTTCTAAAAATGAAAGAATAGTAAATATACAACATTAATTCTCAGTAAATTTGTCACGGCAATGTACTAAAGCATCATAGAATATACTTATATCTCGTAATATGAAGATAACTACTTTAATATGTAGGAATACTAGTTATATTATATTAATAATAGCTGCTGTTTATTTCAATGTTACGATAAGATTTATTCTTGGTGCTCTTTTCTGAACTTGCTCATTTGACCCTGGAGCACAAAAAATGTTTAGCTCAGTCTATGATACTTTGTTTTTATTTATAATATAAATCAGTGTAAAAAGATGTGATTGCATATATAATAAAATGAACGAAAAATAACAGCATTTAATTTTTAGCAGTAACAATAATATACATTTTTGATGGTGACATACTGTATTTAGATCACATATGTATTTTCATTCATGATAATTTAATGTCCCTAAAAACCCCATTAGAACAATATACTTAAAATGCCTATGTATGCAATAGAATCACACAATTTATGATTCAACCCAGTTATGCTGTCTTGGAGACTCAAAGGAAATAACCCTCCTTTTGAACATTCCTTAAATTTTTGCTCAGATTGGCTGAGGTCAAATTCTAATCAAGAATCATTCTTTCAAATTTGCTGTCCTGTGCTATTCATGCTTGCAAGTGTTGACAATGGCACTGAGTGGTCCTAAAAGGGTCACCGAGAGAAGGAGGGCAGGGATGCACCTCTTCTTCTGTACGACTGCTGCACCTCCAGAAGCAACACCCAGATGGCCCCGCCTGCACTTACTTTAAATAGAATTGTTGCCTCCACTTTGAAAATCCATAACAGAACAAATTACACTGGTTAAAAGGAACATAATCTCTGATATTTGGGCTGAAGAATTAGGCTCAATTTTTTGCTAGATGGTTTCTAATTATGCTTTAGTGGTAGAGACAACCTCAGAGGCTATAATTGAAAGCTGAGTGTCCAAGTAAGCTACAAAAATATGGGTCTTTAGAGTCTGAAAGCAAAACTTGAACCTAATTGGGTTGCTTTACTTGTGTAATGCCATATTAAAGTTTACTTCCTAAATATCAATGGTCATCCTTTCTAGGAACTGTAATAAGTCTGGGAGGATATTGCGTATTATTACACTACTTTATTATATTTTTTTCTTTTTAAAACCACTCCCTTCCCTCAGTCATGACATTAAGACTTCTTTGATGATGATGATAACTCTCAATGTAGGACAAGTATGTGTAATTGTATCAAAGAATTTCACTAATTTTCTTCATAGTTATGTTCCAAATGAAATTGCAATATAAAAGCCTGATTGTTTTACACTTTTAAAAGACATGCCCTTACTATGCACATTTGTTGTCATTGTTGTTAGGTGCCGTTGAGTTGACTCAGTCTCATAGCGACCTTACTATGCACTTACTGTCTACTTAAAATTTTTTTTTCATCATTGATTAATATTAATCAAATGCCCCCAGGCAATGACACCAGTTTCTCCCTACTAACGGATTGTTTATCATTCATATTCCCTATATTAATATTGTAATCTTCCCACAGATAACTCAGCAAAATAAAACCAGTGATGCAACATGCTTGTTCTTGACTGCAAGCCTTCATTTGACATAACATCTCAAGTCTTCTCTTTGGTCAGAGAAAGGAAATCTTTCCTTCTTACTACCTGCAGTTTCCTTCTTTCTGAAATAGGCAGGATTCTTCCCATTTGGACTATTGTTTTGGGATATACGCATGCCATTTCTGGGTGCATACATTAAGCAACTTGATAGGTTAAGCTTCTCAGCCTAAACCACAGAGAATATGATCACATAGTTACCTAGAGCAGAACTATCACTATGCAGATCTTCTTGCATCTCTCTGTTTTTCGACTATCTCATCTCCTGATGCATTTAAAAACAGAAAAAAAACTAGGTAGGTAGATATACACCTTATCTGGCAAGAGATTCCCAGAAATAAGATTCATATTGAATTGTTTTACTTGGGGTCCATGCTAACATTTTAAAACAGAATCTATACACGAGTTGTAAGGTTGTTATTTTAGAACTGGATTTAGAAAAAAGGGGCCCATCTCTATCCCCATCTAGAAGGCTTTAGTTGCTGGAGTATCAAAAAGAACGTGTCATAAGGATTGATCACGTTACAGACAGCAGGCTTACCAAGGCACTCCCATGATTCAAATAATGAAGATCTGATTAATTTAGTTGATGGTTCACATAGGACAGAGCCCTTTAAGAAACGTGTTTCTTATATTTAGAAAGCAGAATTCTAATCTTTATAAAGCATTTGAAAGCATTTTTAGGGCATATCAATCCTGGGAGTCAAAGAGCTGAGACTTTGGAAAAGCAGAAGAATGAAGAGGAGTGAAGTTGATGGTTCCAGGTTCTCTCAGTGCCACCTAGTTCTAGTTCATTTATCTCCAAAGTGATGGGGGGAACCTTTCCTTATATCTAGTGCCCAGGCATGTGCAATAATAATATTAAAAGCAAGTATTATTTCCTCTAAGGGATGCAAAATATTTATGATGTATCCTGAAACCATTGCATGTTCTCTAAGAAGAAGAAGGAGCCAGACAAAATAGCTGGGAGAAAACAAAACATTGAGTTCCATTAATGAAAAGTGCAATAACAACAACAGAGTAGTAGTATAATTTATCTCTGTTTAGAAATGAACAGAACTGATGCTCTTGGCTGGCTTCGATTTACCTGCATCCTAAGGAAAGCAAGTTCTATCTTTAAATTAGAGAACTTTATCAGAGAAGAGAGTCAGACTTAGTGGCCGCTGGCTATGTCTTCCAATGAATCAGCAAAACTATATTTAAATTTTAGGATTTCATATTCCAGACACGAAACGAACCAATTCTGGCTAATGAAAAACTAATAGGAAAAAGTTGTGCAATTCTAAAGATCCCAAGACTATCATAAAAGCAATTGCTAGCACTTGTATAGCACTTTACAGTTGATGAAGTTCTTTTTACACACTTGATTTCATTTAGTCCTCACAACAACCCTGTGAAGTAGGTAATCAACTCCGTTAAACAGCCAAGGAAAGAGAGACTTCATGTGTTTTTAAGTAACTTGCCCAAAGTCATGCATTTAATAATGAAGGCAGTCTAGGCACAGAGAGTTCTCTTTCAATTCCAACTACCCTACCTCTCCTCCACTCTGAAACTGTTAGCTGAGTGAGAGATCAGAAGGAAAGGCCAAATCAGTTTGATACATGGGGGGAAATGTTAAATCCTGACTCTCGTATCTATGAATCTGGATTCCCCAAACATGATGCCTTCTATCACTGGTCAGCATACGTTTACAATACTGAGGGACTCTAAACACCCTAGGCAATTCTTTTCTACTGTTCTAATAAAACTGGGCATTCCTTACACAAGACTGGCTTTAAAGCAATCTTGAAGTGTGAGGAAAAAAAAGATATAATCCGCCAGTTGATAGCATTTTCTGTAATCGTTAGACATTAGTAATAATGTTTTCATAGCTAATAAAATATAAGGAAGCACAGAGGGCACTGCCCGTTTCAGTCACTGTTTTGAAGTTTAGGATTATGTACAGCTTCACACTGAAATTTCTCGTTTCACTCTGGACTGGCCACCTCCTTTTCATCAACCCCAGACACTCATCTCTTCTCCGGGCTACCATTTGAAGTTGAATTGATTTTATTGGAAGGAAACATGGTTTCTCTGAAGTCACTCCTAAGTCCTTTCAAACACTAAGGCTGATGATGGACACACTTTGTTCAGAAATGGTGCCCCAGCGTTAAATGACTTTTAAACCAATCAAGACTTAGTTATGCCAGAAATCAAAAAAAAAAAAAAAAAAAGAACCAACAACAAAAATATAAAGCCAGGGTGGTTGTGATTTTTCTTCTAGAAATATAACTTCTGTTATATTTATGGGAATTAGGCTTGCAAATTTCAGTGTATTGTGTTTTGATTAACAGTTCATATAAAATAATTCATAGTTCTTGGTCATAGCAATGTGAAAATCCAACTAGAAACATAGTCTTGGACCCAATGCATAGATTTATGCTTATCTAAGTTCATTTGTTCTCATGATTTCTAGTTGTACTCAGCTAGTGGGCCAAAAAGTCTGTTTCAAGAGTCTGTCTGCATAAATAAGGAGCTCAGGTTGAAACAGGAATGAATTTGATGCACTTGGAAGATTTAGGCGAGTCCTTCCAGATACCCGTACTGTTTGTTGGACTTCGGTTGTTCGTGTATGAAGTGGGTCTTCTACCTGTGCTGTCAGAATCGTCCTTGTTGAATTTTTGCTTCACGTTTCGGCAGCACGGGAAGCTTTGGATACAGTCTTGCAAAAGATTTCCGCTAAAAAACATGTATATCCAGGGATTGCAGCAACTATTCAAGGAAGCCAGTAATGCAGTGATAGTGATGGCAGGGTTTTCCGAATCTGTGTGAAAAACATAAAGCGGTATTATTTAAATAGTCTGATTCAAGTAACTGAGCACTGGATAAACTCATTTTTCCTTGACTAATGGAAGAGGAAAAAAGTGTTGGGCTAGTACAGGAAATGAACTATTTTGTTCACTGATTAAGGAAATGGGTGGTGTATGGAAATTGGCTTGGTTGTAAAACACTATCCTAAGCAAGATGCCTTGTCATTAATTCAAATATTTTAAACCACTATAAAAAGTTGAAATCAAATGCATGGGGATTACAAGAAGGATATACTCAGATTAAGGATATTAAATATCTCATCTTAAAAATCCTCCTATCCTTTGCACTAACAAAATTCCTTGGACACAGCATTTAAGGAATAGCCGCAATTTCAACAAAATCTCAAGACTCTGTAACCACAGATATCAAATTGTATGCATGCGAATAACACAGGCAAAAGTATGGCATTGTGGATCATGTTAGACAGTTAAAAATTTTTTGATTTTAACCATATTATTGTAATATAAAAACCATACAGAAGGGAATAGTTGAAAGAGGTCCTCGAAGTATAGAAAATGTAGTTGTTTTTCTTCGATTAACTAGAAATTTGACTTGCTTTTCAAAGAAAGTCATCTTTAACTGTGGTTTAAAAAATTAAATTATATTAAGAAGAACATCTAAGTTAGAAAATTCCAACAGGATTTTGAAATATTTTATGTTATTAGCACTGGTCAAATGACATAAATATTATAACCTTTCATAATGGAACTACTGCACTGGTAATATACTTTTTTTAAAAACAAGAATAAACAGCAAGCACTGACTTTCCCTTATTAAATATAACCTTAGGTCTTCTCACTCTTGTTATGCCACAATAAATTACAGGCTATTTAATCATATTCTGTGCTAAAATCAAAAGTAGTCATAATCCATGACTAAGTCTATATTAAAAAAAAAGAAATCATCGACATACCCTTGCACAAATGAGGAAGTTTTTAATAATCTTATCTAAATCCCGATAAACCAATAACTAGACTGGATTTTTTATTTTTTATTTTTACGAAGAGGCAGCTAAAATCCAGCAAAGCAGGAAGTGGTTAACCAAAAATAAAGCAAAAGTGTTTACACTGTATTTTTCATAATCTGTAGTAAATATTATAACCATGCAAGAATTTTTATCTGTTTAAATTCCCACCCAAATGTTTTATTTAAAAATATAATTTCCAAAGTATATCATATTACAGTATCCTACCCCAATCCCAAATATAAAAAGGAAACAGCCCCTCCCAGACACCTATTTCCCAGCTACAGTTGTTACTGTAGCATTCCTGTAATATATTTGATTTGAAAAAGTTTTTTTTTCCTTACTAAAAGGAAAAAATTTTCAAGATGCAGTATTAAGGAATGCTTTGTTTTTTGGTGTGTGGGGGTGTAAATCTCTGTCAAAACAGTTTTTCTAGCTTGGGAAGGAATTAAAATCAAACATTCTAGTAGGTGCATAGAACATTCTCAGTGAACTACTGAAAAGAGTTGTGTACAGAGGTATATAGCTGTAGGTCAAATTAGTGATGAAAGATTAACGAGTTAATGGAACAAATTTAGAGTTTATCGCTAATTCTGCTTTGAAACAACAGAAAAAATGGTTAAAGTGATTATTAGGGAAAAATAAGAGATCATGATGAGAAACGGACCATTAGCTAAATGTCAGGTTAGAATTCTTAATCTTTCTCCAGGAAAAAAAAAGTCTGTTTTTTTTTTTTTTTACCCTTACTTTTGGGGCATCTCTGCAAAACTTTTATATTAATTATAATACTTTCACAATTCTAATAAAAAGCAGCTGTGACAGTGAAGATATTTTACTGTATCCCATAGACTTGAAAGCAGGATGTTAACACAGAAGTGGCAAAAAAAAAAAAAAAAAAAAAAAATCACTCTGTTTTGCAACTGTGTGGCTGACTCTGTGGCACAATTTCTGGATTTGTGGTTTTAGGGTCATTGCACGCTACACATACGGATTCCTGGGCCCCATTTTAGATCTACTGAATTCAGAAGGTGGGGACTCCAGGAATCTGCGTCTTTGACAATTTCCTGAGGTGGTTCTTACGCACGCAGAAGTTTAAGAATTATTGCCCTGAAGGATATTATAAAAAAAATATTACCGTTCTCTCTCCCCCCACCCCAGTCCCACCCCTGCACCTTCCTTCATTGTCCCGGTACCTACCGACCCAGGCGGACTTCTCATCCCAGACGGACCACATCTGGATGATGAAGAAGGGCGCCCAGCAGATGATGTAAGCCGTCACGATCACGAAAGTCATCTTTACCGTGCGAATCTTGGCGCGGGAAATGGTCTTCACGCTGTTGACACAGGGCGTGAGCAGGAGCCCCTTGTGGAAGGCGCTACCAGCGTCCTCGGGGCCCTTGTCCTTGTGCGACGCGGTCTTCCTGCGGACGTTGCGCCAGATATGGTAGCAGATGCAGCCGTAGCAGGTGCCCAGGATGATCACGGGCGCCACGAAGATGCCGCCCGTCATCCAGGTCACATAGGCGCGGGGCCCCCAGGGCTGGATGAAGGTGGCCCAGCAGTCGTAGGCTTTGGTGACATTGTTCACCTCAATCTTGGAGAAAATAAAGTACTGCGGCGTACTCAGCACGAAGCTCAGCACCCAGGCGGCCGCGATCATGAGGCGCGAGCGGCGCGCCGGCTGCTGCAGCGTCTTGAGCGGGTGGCACACGGCGATGTAGCGGTCTGCGGTCATGACCACTAGCATGTAGGCCGACGCGAACATGCCTAACACCTGCAGATGCTTCACTACGCGGCACAGCCCATCGGGGCCGCGGAAGCGGTAGGTGATGTCCCAGCACAGCTGCGGCAGCACCTGGAAGAAGGCGACGGCCAGGTCCGCGAGGCTGAGGTGGCGGATGAAGAGGTGCATGCGGGACGTTTTGCGCGGAGTGCGGTGCAGCGCCAGTAGCACGCTGCTGTTGCCCAGCACTGCCACCACGAAAGTCACGGCCAGCACAGCGATCTCCACCTTGGCTAGCTCCTCGTCCCGCACGTCCCCTTCCTGACCGCCACTTTCCTCGAGAGCCTCAGGCTCTCTGCTCAGGTTGGTGCCGCTGGCGGCCAGAGGCCACCACGAGGTAGAGTTGCCCGCGGACCCCTCGCCAGACCTTCCGGAGAAACGCATGCTGTGCATTCAACGCCTCTTCGACCTTGCGAGGAGGCCCTGGCCTGCTCCCTTTTCGCCTCCCGGGCGCGGGTCCCAGCACAGCGCGCGCTCTCCTTCCCGCGCTCGCGGCTCTCTGGTCTCTACTCTCCCGCTTGCGGACTTCTCCCGGCGCGAGTCTCACCGCCCAGCCAGCAGCTCTCGGTGGGTGCCGGGCGCCGGGCGCCGGCGGCTGTTCCACTCTTCTTTTTTCCACTCCGGCGAAGCCAGGAAGGTGCGCTCCGAGCTTCTGAAAGCACTGGACTCCGAAGTCAACTATTTAGGCGGGGTTTGTTTCCCCAGAACACGCTCCCTCTGGCCCCAGTGGCTGGAGACTGACGGTACCAACTGCCCCCTCCACACCCCCTGGGGTTTTGTTCGTTTTTTTTTTCCACCTCCCTACGCCTGCAATTTGTTCTCTTTGCATCACTGCTGCAGGGGTGGGGCTGGGAGACTCGCCTATTCCTCGGCATAACAGGCGGAACCGTGGCGCTTTCCCGCTCTTCCCTTCCAGAAATTTGGAGAACTGGAAGTGTCATACCTATTCTAGGCTCACCTCCCTTACCCCAGGCCTTCCTCACTAGCCACTTTAACCCTACACTTGACTTCAACAGGTATGGTCTATAAGGTAACTTGAAATCCCCAGTCGGCGAACTCGCGCGCCCTCAGGCACCTGAATTTGGCGCACCAGCTCGTCTTGCCTAGCTGGAGTTTCTCAGCAGCCGGCGCCTCGTCCGGCAGCCACTCTGGCTCATTTTATTTCCCCTGCAAATTTGCTCTGCGGATTGCACCCCCACCCCCGTCCCAATCTGCTTTACAGGATAACAACGGGTGACTCAAAGGACATTCTCTTCCCATTAAGAGAACCAAAAAATAAAAATTAAAAAACCCAAACCAAACCTGTTGCCTTGGAGTCAACTCCGACACCTAATGACCCTATAGGACAGAGTAGAACTGCCCCATAGGGTTTCCAAGGCTGTAATCTTTACAAAAGCAGACTGCCGCATCTTTCTCTTGCAGAATGGTGGGTTCCAACCGCCCACCTTTAGGTTAGTACCCCAGCCCTTAACCACTTCGCCACCAAGGTTCTAAGCAAGAGGACCAGAAAATCATACCAAACCCACTGCTGTGGAGTGGATTCCGACTCATAGGACGGAGTAGAACTGCCCCATAGGGTTTCTAAGGCTGTAATCTCTATGGAAGCAGACTGCCACATCTTCCTCCCCACGATAGGCTGGTGGGTTCCAACTGCGGGACATTTTGGATAGCGGGGGAGCGATTTTAACCACTGTGCCATCAGGGCACCTTAGTAAGAGAACAGTACAGGTAAACTCAATTATTTAGGCAGAGTTTGTTTCCTGTAGGCTACGTGTACATTGAGGACGGGAAGGACGCACTCGCTTGTCCTACTGCAGCCCCCATGGCTGCTGTGCGTGTATCTACAACGGGGAACAGGAACATCTGCTGGTTTTTCAATTTCCCCACGGGTCCGGGAGCTTAGAATTTTCTCTAAATTCCTGAGGTTGTCTCAGGGAAAAGCTTGAGTCCCACAACAGAGATGGCGGGAATTGGTCCGCGGCAGTCCGTGGAGACTTCGCCTGGTTATTACTGAATAGCCAGGACACCTCTTCGGATGGACAAAAAGCAGCTGCCCCGACAGCGGCCACCCAGGGAGCGCTGTTCAGGACACCGGAGCGAGAAGCAGTCAGGCTCCTGCGTTGGGAGTGGGAACTAGGAAATCTTGAGAACAGGAAAGAAGCGCTGGGGAGGAAGAGGTAGAAAACCACCTACCTATTATTTAGTTACTCTGTCAGCTGGAGCCCACCTGCAGGATAGAGCGAGGCAGGAATACTGGCTCCCTCCCTTAGTTCTGAGTTTTAACCTTGGTAAAGACATGCTTCGAAGAACAACAAGGGGAAGCTGTTTTCAGGCTATTTCAGGAAGGGGGGAGGCGGGGAAGCACCACCCAAAACGCTCTATATGGTTATCTATCTATGCAGATACACAAATATGATCTTATTGTTCAAAATGTGTGTATATAGTAGCTCTGGCATAGATTTGTCTCAGATAAGTATCACCCTCTGTGAAATGCAGCAAAGAAAAAACAATTTCCCAAGGTGCAGTTTCAGTGATAGTTAACACTTTGTTTCCCACTTTGTGCACACAGAGTCTCCGAAGTTGTTGCGTAAGAGTGTCTGTTTTGAAATCTGGAGTGCCAGCACTGCTTCATTGCAGCTGTGTAAGCCTCAGTTTACACATCTTAAAAATGGGAATAAAAGTACCTGCCTTGCCTACTCACCAGGTTATTGTGAAGATCAAGGAAGACAATGTTCTGTGCCGGTGGGAAATGTTCCAAAAACTGAAAGCACTGAAAGCTGTATTGTGTTGTCTCATTTTCTTCAAGATATCTAGAAGGCAAAAGATTAAAATGGTTCAGGGAGGAAATAAACAAAAGGTTACTTACCACTGTTGTGGACTGAATTTCATTTCCCAAAAATGTGTGTCGAAGTCCTAACCCCTGTACCTGGAAATATAACCCTGTTTGGAAATAGGGGTTTTCTTTTGTTATGTTAATGAGATAATGCCAGAGTAGGGTGTGTCCTAAACCTGATCACTTCAAAATGGTGTTTTATAAAAGGGGAAAAAAAAAAAAAACCCATTGCCATCGAGTCAATTCCAACTCCTAGCGACCCTATAGGACAGGGTAGAACTGCCCCATAGGGTTTCCAAGGAGCGGCTGGTGGATTCAAACTGCTGACCTTTTGGTTAGCAGCTGTAGCTCTTAACCACTGTGCCACCAGGCCTGTCTTATAAACAGTACACAGTAAAACCTGTGAAAGCCAGAAACTGTGTAAGGTGGAAACCTGTCAGAGAAGGAAAACGCAAATATCTTCCACTAAAAGGAGCAATAGAAAAGTGGTAAGACTGCACCTTGTCAAAGTTGGAAAACTTTCGAGACCCAGAAAAACGAGGTGGTCCAGTTGAGTTCCAGCTCTCACAGGTTTCACAGAGACACTCACCCAGGGGGCAATGCCATGTGAAGGGGAGGCAAATGAATCTACAAGCCCAGGAACACCAGAATTGCCGGCAGTTATTAGGAGCTGAAACAGACAAAGAAGAACCCTTTTCTAGAGCCATGCCCTAAATTCCAACCTCTAGTGTCCTAAACTGTGAGAAAATAAATTTCTGTTCTTTAAAGCCACCCACTTTGGGTGTTTTTTGTTATGGTAGCACTAGGTAACTAAGACACATGTCAAATCACCTTTTCAACTTTCAGTACCCTTTAGAGGAGGCAGTGTGTTGTAGTGGAAAGAACACAGATTCTGGATTTAAACAAATGTAGATTCAAACCCTCGGTGCAACACCTACCAGAAGGAATCAACAGCTTTGGGTGTTCTTATTTTGGCGAGATGGTGCAGAGGTGCACAATTCAGCAGAGTGTCTATGGAAAATAGTGCCTAGGGCAATTAGTTTTAAATTGCTGAATGATCTCTCACAGCTGGCAATGGAAACATCAATGGCCGATAGAAAGTGCTTATTGCCCTGCCCCACCAAGTGGCGCCCAGGGTATGTGCTATACCTTAGATATGCCTCTGCTATGCATGTCATCTATGTCAGGCCTTCTGATTCAATAATCACACTATATCTAATTTATAAGAAATAGTCCATTAAGTTCCATCAGTGAATATAGCTGGAAGATATTTTTATTCAGTGAACAACAGTACCAATTATTCATCTGTATCAAGCACGATATATGCTGCTGGGTGCCAGGGAGCCTAGACAGCAGATTCTTTGTAGATTCTAGATCCAAGTCCCACATAGTTTTAAAAATGTGTCTGTCTTAATCTTACTGGTTCCGTTTTCAAAGGAAATCCAAAAAACCAAATCGGTTGCCTCGGAGCAATTCTGACTCACGGCAAACCTTGAGCACAGAGTAGAACTGCTCCATAGGGTTTTCAAGGCTGTGACCTTTCAGAAGCAGATCACCAGGCCCATCTTCTGGGGCACCTCTGGCTGGGTTCGAACCAACAACCATTCAGCTAGTAGTCAAGCACTCAACCGGTTGTACCACCCAGGGACTCCATCAAAGGAAATCAGGACTATTGAAATACAGGCTCATTATTTGTGTTTACCTTACTGGACCTGCTGTGGAAGTTACCCAGTGGAGGATAAAGGAACTGTGGTCCTGAAATGTGAGAAGAATACCGTCAATATTTTCTGTGGCATTTTGTACTTCTTAGAACAATTTGCATTTGCCCTGTACATTTTGTATTACTAGAACTTGCCTCCCCCTTACTGTCAGTGGTTAACATATATTGGTTAACATTTTTAGGGTGGGACAATGAAAAGAAAAAGATGCAAGTTGTATGTGTATTCTGGAACAATCTTTCTCTTTTTGCTAGTCTTTCTCTCATTTTTCAGTTCCGGTTGTTTAAAAAGTATTGTAGTTAAAGGAAGCAGCTACTTTTTTCTCTTCCTAGTTGTGTGGCTTTGTTTTAATCTCTGGCTTAAAATTTTTCACCTGTAAAATCTTGATAATAAAATGTAATTTATGCAGTTGCTGCAAGGATCATATAAGCTGTTTCATATCACGTTTCTGGCAACGCATGAGTGCTCAGTACATTAAATCCTCCTTTTTCCAAGCATATAATCCTTCATATTTCCTGCTATTTTGCCATCAAAAATTTTCCTTCCAGTTAAGGCAGCAGACCTTAAAACTGTCTTCTATGCAATATCAGCTATTGACAGGTTTTCCATGAGAAAAGAGTTTCATGATCAAATACCATTGGATGGTGTGTGTGTATCTCATCTTCTCCTGGAGATTTATGCATAAGACTCCTCAGGAAAGAAACCTATTTAATTTTGTTTATCAATATTTCTCAAAGTTTTGGTGTGTGAAAACCCCATCTTTTTATTCTCTGCATGGAACAGTGATGAACATGTCACAGGACAAGGAGTGCAGTTTGAGGAACACTGAATAAAGGTACCTGGAGTTTTGGAATGCTCCAAAGCAGCCACTGGGCTTATCATATCA